TTCTAATTGCCAGTCTTCATTTCATTGTCCAGGAGGTTTAACACATTTGTTCTTGTGCTTACCCTGTCCTGGAACTTAAATAGTTCTTTTCTTTCCCTGGCAGTGGCATTTGCCCCTCTAATGTATTTATACATAGCAATGATAATCCTTTTAATTTTGTTAGACCAACAAGCCCTCCTCTTGTCTCCTTCCGTATAGCCTCTCTCATACCTCTTCTGATTCATCCTAAAAGGAAAAGAGTTTTTTGTGATATCTTTTATTGTACTGACTGCATCGTTAGGAGAGCTTTGGACAAGGTTTTAGGCAACATTTCCTTCTTTAGATCACAGCTCCCCAAAAGCAGTAGCATAGCTAGGGGTGGGTGAGAGGGGCACTTGCCCCAGGCGCCAAGTTCGAAGGGGCACCAGAATCACCCCTCACCCTGACAGAGTCTGTGCCTTAGCAGCAAGAGCAGCCCTATGGCTTACCCATGCCAGGGACTCCAACATAGTCTCCTTTAAGAACAACAGCTGGGGTGGGCCAGCGCAGCTGGGGACTGTTTAGGAGTTGCAGGCATGGGTAAAACTGCTGTGCTTCCCCTCCCCCCCACACCACTCTCAAAACTACATGTGCCCCCCCAAAGCTCTCCTTCCCTCATCATCCTCCCACAAGGTTGGCACAAACTCTGCTTGTTACAACACTGGCCAATGTGTCTGCCAACTATTAGGGCTGTGCGAAATTTCTCCCAGTCTTTCATTTCAAAGCTGTTTCAATGCGTTTTGAGCTTGAAACAGCGAAAACAAAACAAAACAAACGCCTTCAAAACAGCTTTGAAAAGAAACAAGGGCACTTGAAATGTTTCAAAAGTTTACCGGCTTACTGGCATCAGCACCGGTCCCAGCCGGCAGCAGCAGCCTCCTGTCATATGTTAGTCAGATCGGGGCCCACCCACACCCCCGGGGAGGGTCCCCACATGAGCTGATTTGCCCTAGGCCCTGCACCCTCCTCGAGCTGCCTCTGGTATGGGGCCTGGGGCATATCAGCTTGTGCGGGGACCCTCCCCGCATCAGAGGGGCAGCGGGTCCCTCACACGAGCTGATATGTCCTGGGACCCGCATCCTCCTTGGGCCAGCTCTAGTATGGGGCCCAGGGCATAGCAGCTCATGCAGGGACCCTCCCCCAACCTGGGATCGGGGCAGTGGCTCCCCACATGATTTATACCCCAAGCCCCGTACTAGAGTTGATCCAAGGAGCGTGTGGGGCCCAGGGCACATTAATTCAAGTGGGGACCCTCCTCTGCCCTGGTATTGGGGTGGTGGGTCGCTACATGATCTGATTTGCCCCGGGCCCACCTGCTGCTAGCCCCAGCTGGCAGGACCAGCCTCCTGTCATATGGCAGGCCACCTGTGCTGGTCCCAGCAGCCTAAAAATCTGCCCTGGCCAGCAGCTCAGGGCTATTTGCCCTGAGGAGCTTCTGGGGCAGCCCCTGTATTTGACCAGGAAGGAGGCTGTGGCTAAGAAGGTGCCCGGAGACTGCAGGGCCGCTTTTCTCTCACTTGTCCATGCACATTTCGGGGCAGAGCACCCGTGAGCAGCATCCACTGGCTCCTTGGATGCCTTTGAGGCCCAGGGGACTCTGCTTGGTGTCCCCCTCAGGCGCACTTATTTTCACGTTTTGACCCTTTGACCCACATGACACTCCTATCCTGTTTTTTTCATTAGTTGTCCCAAGTATTTTGTTGTAGCCTTCACTCGTTAGCCCCCATGTAGTAAGGGCTACTAGTTAGCTGGGTAGGCCATAGGGCCCATGGTATTCGAATGTTACACATAGACAGGAGCTTCTGGGAGGAAGTTGGCCACATGCCTTCCTGTCCCAGGCTGCTGCTGCTACTGCTGCTTCTGGCTCCTGCTAGCTTGGTCTCAGGAGTTTCTGCGAAGAAGATGGCCAGGCCCCTTCCTGCCTCTGGCCACTACTTCTGTTGTTGTTGCTAGCTGCTGCTGACCTACTCTCAGGAGCTTTTGGGGGAAGTTGGCCACATCCCTTTCTGCCTTGGGCTGCTGCTGCTGGTCCTCTGCTGTATGCCACTGCCCCCCATCGGGAAGGAGCTCACTGCACTGCACTGCACTTCTGTTCCAGCCTGCTGCCCAGCCCACCACCAAGCCATGATGGGGCACAGCCTGGGGAGGGGACCTGTGCTGCCTATGGGCCCCCCTCCCCTACCATCACTGCTGGAGCCTAAGGGTGCCTGCCTTCCCCAGCTGCTTTGGCAGGCCACCCCATCTTCACCTTCACTTTTACGTGAAGCATGCCCTGAGTGGCTGATCTGGATGGCTGCTATCACTGCTGCTGCTGCCACCTGTACCGCTGCTGCCCCCTCTCAAGAGAGGAAGATTCCCTGCTGCACCACCCAACATCGCACCTGCAATGGATGACTCCCTAGTTGACTGCTTGCTTCTGCACTCCCCCACAGCTGCCTCACCATGTCTGATCCTGCTTTGTTTTCCTGCCTGATCCTGAGTGCCTGGCTGGAGGTCTGCGGGGCTCCTGGACTGGGCTTCAACAAACAAAGCCCCTCCACCACTCCAGTCATCCTTTACACCTGCCTCAGCAGCCTCTCCTGTGTGTTTTGCCCTTGTGTTAAAAGTCCTGTGGCCCACTCCCCCTGCCCTGGTGTTTGTTGTGTGGCTGAGTAAGCCAGGTCAAGTCTCCCCAGCCCTTGTATCTATGTGTCCCCTCCCTCACCTTCCCCAAGCATAGCCTGCCCAGTTTCCTGTGAGGCTGTAGCTCAGTGAACTTCAGCCCCTTTCCCCTTCCCCCTCCCCTTCCCCCACAGCCCCAACCTGCTCCTATTGGATTCAGTGATTTGGACGACGGGGTGAAAAGCAACTTGTTTAAATTTGCTGATGATACCAAAATTTGGGGTGAGGTGAGC